AGATATGCCTTCGGAGTCCTTGCTAGAAAATTGTTAGGTTTCATCGTCAGTCGCCAAGGTATCGAGTTAGACCGGTCAAAAATTAAAGCTATCCAGCACTTGCCACCGCCAAAGAATAAGAAAGATGTGATGCGTTTTCTAGGGCGCGTCAATTATATCAGCCGTTTTATAGCACAATCAACGGTGATATATGAGCCAATCTTCAGAATGTTGAGGAAAGATGTTGCAACAAGCGGAACTGAAAAATGCCAGAAAGCCTTCGATAAAATCAAGGAGTATTTTTCTAAACCGCCCGTGTTGGTCCCACCAGAACCAGGAAGATCTCTGCTGCTTTATCTATCTGTGTTGGAAGGAGCCTTTGGTTGTGTTCTAGGAAAACATGATGAAACTGGAAGGAAGAAGCAGGCGATATATTATCTGAGAAAGAAGTTCACGTCTTACGAAGCCCAGTACTCGTTATTAGAATGCACCTGATGTGCTTTGACATGGATAGCCCATAAGTTGAGACATTATTTCTGTGCGTACACTACATATCTCATATCAAGGATGGATCCGCTAAAATACATCTTTCAGAAACCCATGTCTACGGGTAAGTTAGCAAAGTGGCAGATATTACTGAGTGAGTTTGACATCATCTATGTAACTCAGAAGGCAGTCAAAGGACAAGCATTAGCGGATCACTTAGCAGAAAATCCCGTAGACGGAGAATACGAACCATTGAAAGCGTATTTTCCCGACGAGGAGGTATCGTTTTTAGGAGAAGATATTATCGAGGCATACGGTGGTTTGAGGATGTTCTTCGATGGAGCAACAAACTTCAAAGGAGTGGGTATCGAAGCTGTCTTAGTATCAAAAATCGGTCAACACTATCCGGTATCCGCAAAACTCAGGTTCCTGTGCACCAACAATATGGCAGAATATGAGGCCTGCATCCTGAACTCAGGTTGGCCATTGATATGAACGTTTATGAGTTGCTGGTAATCGGAGATTCAGATCTATTGGTGCACTAGGTTCTAGGAGAATGGGCTACGAAGAACACCAAAATATTGCCATACTTGCACTGTGTACAAGAGCTGATCAAGAGATTCACAAAGATAGAGTTCAAGCATGTTCCAAGGATTCAGAATGAGTTTGCAGATGCATTAGCTACTTTATCTTCCATGATACAACACCCAGACAAGAACTTTATTGATCTTATCCCAATAGGAATTCATAAGCAACCAGCTTATTGTGCTCATGTTGAAGAAATTGACGGAAATCCTTGGTTCCACGACATCATGGAATAATTAGAAAAAGGAGAATATCCAGAGCACGCTACACACACTCAGAAGCGTACGCTTGGAAGATTAGACAACCATTTCTTTCGAAGAGAAGGAATTCTGTATAGAAGGACTCCTGATTTGGGATTGTTGCGATGCGTCGATGCCAAGGAGGCATCTAGATTGCTCGAGGAAATACATGCCGGAACTTGCGAACCCTACATGAATGGTTTCATTCTGGCCAATAAGATATTAAGAGCATGATATTTCTGGATGACTATGGAAGTAGACTGCATCAAATATGTTCAAAAGTGTCACCAATGCCAAATACATGCTGATATGATACGAGTGCCGCCTAATGAACTTAATGCAACGAGTTCGCCATGGACTTTCTCCGCTTGGGTTATAGATGTCATCGGACCAATTGAACACGTTGCTTGAAACGAACATAAGTTAATTCTGGTGGCTATAGACTACTTTACGAAATGGGTTGAGGCCGCATCCTATAAGGCTGTAACTAACAAGATCGTAGCAGATTTTGTTCGGGACTGCATCATTTTTTGATTTGGAGTACCTGAGTCAACCATTACTGACAATGCCACCAATCTCAACAGTGACTTGTTGAAAGCCATGTGTGAAACATTCAAGATCAAGCATCGGAACTTTACAACATACATGCCGCAAATGAATGGAGCCGTAGAAGCCGCCAACAAAACATCAAGAAGATATTGAGGAAAATGGTAGACAATTACAAATAATGGCACGAGAAGTTACCATTTGCTTTGCTCGGGTATCGCATCACAGTTCGTACATCCACTGGGGAAACTCCCTATCTATTGGTTTACGGTACTCAAGCCGTTATTCCCGCCGAAGTAGAAATCCCTTCCTTAAGAGTCATAGAGGAAGCCGAGCTCAGCGACGCAGAATGGGTACAAAGCCGGTATGAACAACTGACTCTCATTGATGGAAAAAAAATGAACGCAGTATGTCGCAGCCAACGATACCAGAATAGAATGGCAAGAGCTTTCAACAAAAAGGTTAGGTCAAGGCAATTCACACCGGGGCAATTGGTACTAAAACGGATCTTCCCACATCATGATAAAGCAAAGGAGAAATTCTCACCCAACTGGCAAGGCCCTTACATGGTTCACCGAGTATTAACATGAGGAGCACTTATACTTGCAGAAATGAATGGAGAGATTTGGCCAAAACCTATCAATTCGGACGCAGTTAAGAGATACTATGTTTAATATTATGTTCTCACTTTCTATTTGATGTAACTGAACTACGCTTGACGTGATTCCCATTTAAGAAGGGATACATAGGCAGCCTTGTGGGTTCGGTCATATCATAATAAAATCGTCATTTCCTCTATGGTCAGAAACCGGGGCAAGAACTCGAGTTTGCCCGATCTCATCATGTTTGGAACCGCCAAGGAAGGTATCGCCAGAAGTACGGATTTAAACTGGGGCAGAATTTTGAGGAGGATCCTCAAAATTCCGAGTTAAGGAGGTTGCGATGTCTCAAAAGCATGTCACAGTCATCAATTCAACAAAACTATTTGCTCTCGTGTATTATCACATATTTCAAACAACTATGTTTTTATAAACAATTTATCAAATGTATGTTTTTCGAAAATTGTGTTTCTATAGCAGCCAGACGTTACCCGGGGTAACTCAAGCAGGGCCTCCAGACAAAAGCAAAGGCAAAGAAAGGAATCCAGATCACGAACCAAACTTTCCCCGCAAAACTCATGACTTTTCTTTGAATGCAGGCACAATGAACATAACAAGAACGTCCGCACTTACATACACACAACAAGATCACTATCTTCACATCGACAAAGGGCGCCAAACACAAACACAAACACATCAAGCTAGGAAATACTTTATTCTCTCACATTTAACCATTTGCTTTTCTTTAATAGGGCTAAGTACTGCCCTCATCATCACATAAGGCTAAGCATTGTCTTTCCTTTCCAGAGACTAAGCATTATCTCCACTCCTTGCATATGGCTAAACACTGCCCTCACATTGCATAAGGCTAAGCACTGCCTTTCTTTGCATGAGACTAAGCATTATATTCATTCATTGCATGAGACAAAACACGGTCTCCACTCCTTGCATAGGGCTAAACACTGCCCTCACATTGCATAAGGCTAAGCACTGCCTTTCTTTGCATGAGACTAAGCACTGTCTCAATTCTTTGCATGAGACTAAGCATTGTCTCCACTATTGCATAAGGCTAAGCACTGTCTTTCTTTCCATGAGACTAAACACTGTCTCCATTCCTTGCATGAGGCTAAGCATTGCTTCCATTATTGCATAAGGTTAAGCACTGCCTTTTCTTGCATGAGACTAAGTGCTACCTCCATTCTTTAAGCGATGTCTCCACTATTGCATAAGGCTAAGCACTGCCTTTCTTTGCATGAGACTAAACACTGTCTCCATTCCTTGCACGAGACTAAGCACTACCTTCATTATTGCATAAGGCTAAGCACTGCCTTTCTTTGCATGAGACTAAACACTGTCTCCATTCCTTGCACGAGACTAAGCACTACCTTCATTATTGCATAAGGCTAGGAATTGCCTTTCCTTGCATGAGACTAAACATTATCTCCGCTCTTCACATCGGGCTAAGCACTGCCCTCATCTCACACAAGACTAAACCTTGTCTCGTCTAGTTCTCGCATATGACTAAACATTATCTGTTTCCTCTCAAACGATCGATATCACCGTATATTTGCATCTCATGGGCTGAAACATTGCCATATTTTCCGAAGGCGTCATAGTCTAAGGGCATCATCCTCATAGCCCGAAGACATCATACCATGGCCGGAGGATCTCTCGAAATTGCATATCATTACTCAAAGGCGTCATGGTCCAGAGGCACCATCTTCATAGCCCGAGGACACCATTCCATGGCCGGCAAATCCCTTGTCATACACTTCATCGCCCAGGACGCACTACAAGAAATTGAACTTTTTGTGGCGCCGAAAGTCGCTACAAAAGACCTGCGTAAGGCGTCATGGTCTCGTCGCTATAAAAGACCTGAAGACCTTTAGTGGCGACCTTAGGGTTGCTGCAAGTACAACCATTACTAAATGTTTTTTGGGACGACTGCGTTGGTCGCCACAAAATGTCTCTTTTTGTGGCGACTATATCGCCACAAACACTTAATAAATTCGCTACAAATAAGAGTCCTACAAAACAAGTTTTATGTAGGTCGCCACAAAATAATGACATTTAGTAGCTACCATAGTCGCCACTAAAACTATTAGAGCTTCAGTAGCAACTCTTGTCGCTCCAATAGCTTGAGATTTAGTAGCAATGTTGGTCGCCTCTAATAGAAAATGGCTTCTGTGACAAAATCCTGTCGCCACTAAAACATATTTTTCCAACAATTATAATGATAAAAATTCTAATACATTTCCATCAATTAATACCACTATTAAAAGCATCCAAAATTATTCAACAACCAAACAAAATATTTCTGAAGTCAGAATATTATACATACTTTCAAGATAAAAAGACAATTACATATTTACTACACAATACTTCGTTGGTCACTGTTATTGTACAAATACATACGATAAAAGAAAAAAAACAAATATTAAGTGTCTTCAAACTCCTTGATCAACGCTATTTGTGATTGTTTAGGAATCTTGTCCATGTTATTAAAGAATAAATAACACAAGATCACTTTTACAAACTCATAATATAATGCTATTAGTAAAAGGGGTGACCACAATAAAATTTCACTCTAATAAAAATAGTAAAAGACATTTAAATAGTAATGTAAGCTGATTAGGAGAATAACCTTTTACATCAGAAGGACTATATAGGTTACGCTACCAATGGTAACAGTCCCAGTGCATACAAAATTTTAAGTTAAAAATGAGAAGAGGAGTCCGAAGATTTTCTGAAGGAACTCATCTAGAACTGTTATATTTAACTAACAGGGTATGAGGATTGCTTATTTAGTTCCCATTTGACCTTTCTCAACATATGTAATAACATCAGGTGGCATGTTATTTACTTCAACTGCATTTTCACTATTGTTTAAACTATAAACTATACTGCTTTCTTGAGGATAATACCTACATTTCTCTTACTCATATAATTTGCAATTGGGACATAGCACTGAATGCATTTGTATAACAGAGGATATTTCATGGTTTAATGGTCAGTAGCATTAAAACATTTAGCATATAAGCAGAGATGATATTCCTCATATGTTGCTTCTATCTGAACCCTGTACAGCAATATGCATTTGACATTTAAAATGAGAAAATGACAATTTGGATTCCCATGATGCAACAATCTCACAAAAGTTAGCATTGCAAGTATGGAAAAATAAAAAGTTGTAATGCAGCACAATGTCTAACCATAAGGAAGGTAAAGAATTCATTTGTCAGTGAATGACTGATGTCTTAGGTAATTTCTTCCAAATTAAAATTTTGCATTCACTATTTCTTCATAAGCATATATGCATCCTGACAAACAAGTAGTCCAAACAATCATTAAATTCATTACTTGGAAACATGATCATCATAATTTCTTAAAATAATAACGGAAGATTATACCAAGAAGCTAATGACTTTAAACGTTATGGCAATTCCTCTTAGGATGTTATGGCAAACTAATCTCACCTATCATATTTCTAATTTAAATGAAACATTAATTAAACTTTATAGACATGTCATTGTTGTTCAGAACAAGGGCACCAAATACCAACACACTGAGAAGCATTAGTAGGTTGTGTGTGACGGGTATCTCGAATCCAATAGACAAAAATTAAGTGTGTTGCTTTAGCATGATAGTACGGAAATCCTTCCTGCAATAACCACCACATAAATTTATGACTTGTAGCCTAAAAATCAGTATATCCAGAACATATCAATAGACAACTCAAACCAGAAGAAAAGCTTAGATAATGAATATATTTCCCAAACAAAGAAGGTGAAGCAGAGATAAAATACCAAATATTTATATTATACGGCAAAACTTTCACATTAAGTAAAGCCATCAGTTTGCCACAACCAATATCTAGTGAGAGATGAAAAACTAAAGTTGAATTAAAAATTAAAACCTAAGCAGTTATCAATGAGCAAATTATACAAGACCACGACTAACCAAGACACTGTAGATTAACAAGTCATCACTTGCGCTAAAATACCACAAAAGTTTTGAGATGATTGAACAAGATACTGTATGTTCCAGAGAGTTTCTCCTTTAAACAAATAGCAATTGGTACATCATATGCTTTTTCATTCTAAAAACAGATGAAAACTAACAAGGTAAACTACCTCGTCATAACCCTCAATATTGAAATGGTCAATTAGGTGTGGGAACATCATTATAACTAGTCTCAAATAGTCATAAAATCAAAATTATGTGTTTATCGAGCTCTACCTATAACTAATAGATCAAGATTTAGTAGGAAAATAAATGTGTTGATAACTAGAAAAGTTAGAGTTTCTTATTTTTACTTAGCACTAGAAAAAGTTAGCTTTGCATTTTAGATTAGGTAATTGTGGATTCTTAATTATTTTCTTAGCCTATAAAGGCAAGAGTTTTCATAGAGTGTCAGCCAGGGAAAATGAAACTTACTCTTAACTGTCGATTTTGTTTCCATTGTAGCTATATGCAAGAATAATCGTCAAGTTAATATCTCCCCTGGAGTAAATTCACCCAAACCGTATGAGAAAAATCAACTATCTCATATTTTTTCGATTTGCTGCTTCAATTGTAGATATACCATTGATTCTCTTCGAGCCTGAATCACATTATTCACACATCATTTGCTGCTACATTTGTTGATATTCCAGCTCAGAAAATAAAACAAATCAAGTATCATAAAAATAGAACCGTCTCTTGAGGATAAGAGCATGGTAAATAGGGATCACATATGGTGAATCTATAATAATACAATTACTAAATTGCCATAGTTCACAAGGAAATACTTTCTAGTAGAAGTCAACAATATGGATTGCCAAACGAGATGCACTCAGTAAATTGAATTTAACATAGGATACGTAAAGTAAATTCAAAATCCCCCATTGCACAAAGAAGCCCTAAATTTTCAAACCCCAAAAAGTAAAGCACACATACACAATAGCAAACTAAGTAAACCCTAAAATTTCAGAAAACCTCACCGTTGAAGAGCAAGAAACGATCAAAATAATTACGCTAACATCAAAAGGGAGAAAGGAGTAGAAAAAAAACCAAAACCCATTTGCTCTACATCAGCCGCTGAAAGAAAGGATGCTCAATAATCGTCAGTCGAACACATTGGCTCAGAATCTAATAGACCCGTTGTATCAACGATTGCAGGCCTTAAAGCAGAGAGTAGACTCATGGTTTTTTCTTAAAATGCTCGCATTGAGTCGATTTACTAGGGCTCGGGTAAATTTAGGTTAGATTTGTGCGGAAATTATGAAGGAGAGGAGATAAGAGAGGCGTGAGGGAAGGGAGAAGGCAAATCGCCGATTGAATTTAATAGAGCGATGTATGGAGGAATTTTGGAGAGAGGACATCGATTTCGCTGGGGAAAGGCCGAATGGGATTTCTTTTTTTGGGGGGAGGGGGATTTCTTAGAACTTTTATTTTAAGGAAAAGGAGAGAAATCATAATAATTTTACAAAATGAGATAATATATTGAAACATAAAATAACTAAAGAAAATGATAATGATTTTACTTTGTAAAGCTTTGAAAAAATAAATATATTACTCCAAGTATTTAAGCCTTTCAATATATGAGTACTTATTTAAATTTAATTTTTAAATATAAAAAATATCCAAGTACTTAGTTAGTACTAATAAAGTACATTAGTGGCGGCCTAAAAGATTGCAACAAAAGCACCACTTGTAGTAGCGACAAAGTCGCCGCAATTGACCTTTTGTGGCGACTAAATTATCAGTCGCCACAAATAGATTTCCAGCCATATTTTATTAGAGAAATTAGTATGTATTAGTGGCGATATAAACATAGTCACCACTGATATTTTATTACCTGTAGCGACAAAAAGGTTCGCCGCTAAAACTACAACCTTTTGTGGCAATCTTTTTATGTCGCGACTAAAAGCCCTACTTTTGTAGCAACTAGGTTAGTCGCCACAAATGGTCGCCACAATAAATCATATTTCTTGTAGGGACGTCATGGTCTAAGGACATCATCTTCATCGTCTAAAGGCGACCTTCATGGTCCAAAGGAAATTTGCATCATGTTTAAATTATCGCAATAACCCATATATATTCGCATGCACCGTGTTTTAAGTTTTACAGGTAACTCGGGAGTTAACCGTTCTACAAACAGGAGCAATTCTCGCTCCGGTTTCCGTTCACAATGTCCACATTCTTCGATCACCTCAAATGTAACCGATGATCAACAATTGATTACCCTTTGTTCTATAACCGTTCAAATATTTGCCTAATATATCTGTAACGTTCAAATTCGCATTCATCGCTCTTATCTGTTACTTACGACACTATCCTACCCAAAAGATCCTTTTTGGAGCATATGACCACTCTTATAACAACTTTATCGGTTTTGTTCGCCGTTGGATCTAGAACTACACACGGTCTGATTCAAGTAACACCAGGGATATGTAGGCAACTCAAGAACCATGGTTCGGCCACTATTCTTTTTAAAAAAAACATCATCCCTCACTCAATTCAGACAAAATTGGTCATCATTTTCTTTACCTGACAACTCTTCCATCATTCCCGGGTAAAGAGTGACAGATGTTAATACCCAATTTTGCCCTCATATTTTTACTTAATCTACAAGAGCTATACAAGTATTTTTATAATTTTATTTTAGGCTTTAAAATTGATTTTCTTACATTTAAATTACTTGAATATGTATTAATTACCCCTTAAATTATTTTGTAATGACTTAATCATCCAAAGTTTTCATTTGCATCTACAAATATGTCTCATAATATTTTACTTTGTTTTTATATAATTATAGTTGTATTTTAAAGCTATTTTATATAATTTTGCAATAATAGCCTATACTTTACAATTAATTGCATTTATCATTTTGTTCAAGGCCAAAAAATGATTTTTTTATATTTTTGTAATCTTCATCTATTATTTTAAAATATTACTTCTCACAAATATTATTTTTTATATTTATTTAGTTATTTTATTAAATTATTTTTTCCTAATTTCTTTTATTTAAAATCTGGCCCAAAACTAGGCCAATTTCGAAACAGAAGCTGGCCCAATACTCCCACAAAAATGTATATGGGTCTGATTAACTGAGATTTTTTAACTATTTGGTTCTCTATCTTGATCAAGGGTTTACCTAATTTTTCTCCTAATCCGATTCTAAATCGATTCTGTGTTCTATTATTTTTTTTATTGTGTTTGATCGACCGTGTTTCCTTATTTGCTCGTTCAATTTTACTGCTATATAAACCCCTCCCCTAGTCCCCTTTAACAGACTTTAATCAATGTTGTTCTCTCATACTCTCACTCACTCGATTCTATTCTGAATCTACTGCTCTTGGCCGGCTGAAAGTCAAGGCCATCGGAACCCTCTCTAACGATCTCCCTAGTGCGAGCACTGCTCGGAGCTCATTTGAGGTTCCTGTGAATTCTGACGCACTAGGATTTGGGTCTTCGGGATGTTCTCTTTGCTGGTGATATTCGAGCTGTTTCTGACACTTAGAATTCTCTTCTATTTGTTTGGTGAATCTGCAAACTGGTGAGTGTCTTGACTTTTGCAATTCTATAGTCTTTGCTTGTTTCCAGTGCTTCGCATATCCATAATGTTCGAACCAATATGACTCCAATATTGTGTTATAATCATCGGCAGTTTTACCTGCATTATAGCTATTCTACAATTTTGAATCTCTTAGTGTCACAACCTGCCCAATTCTTTAAATTCCTATGTGTTCAGCTTGAGTGACTTTGTATCTTTAAGTTTGCTTTGTTGTTTTGTTGTTTATTATAAGTTTTTCTCATGCCTTGTTTTTGGATTCTCGCATTGAGATAAAAATAGAAAAATTAACCCTCCGAAAGTAGGTCTGCGGTCGCATAATGGACCGCAGAATGGGTATGTGGGTCGCAAAATACACCGCAAAATCGATGCCCAGAAATGGGCTTCACTAGACAGGTCTGCGACTATTTTGTGGTCGCATAACTACTTCTGTGATTGCATAACTACTTCTGCGATTGCATAATGGTTCTGCGATCGCAGAATTGGTCGCAGAATTGTATTTTTTCATCCTTTGGTAATTTGATCATAACTTCTTGTAGGAATATCCAAATGACGAACGGTTTGAAGCGTTGGAAACGAGACTCAAAGAGATTTAATTTTATAGGTAATACATCATATAACTCTTCATATCAAGAGAGGTATGCTCGTTTGAAGTTAAATCTTGTGCGAACTCACTTGAAACTTTATTCTATCATGAAAATTTCAACTTGCCTTAGTCTTAGGGCTCTTCTTAGACCATAAACCATTCTTAGTATACTTCATACATATATTATCAAGATCAATTGATATCATTCATATAATAGCCCTTGTCAGCACATAAAATAATATAATTAGCGCACATCAACTTTCTAACTAGCGCTCAAGTACTTCGAAAGTTTCCGGGGTGTTACACTTTTCTTTCCCCTCGGGCCCAATTTGCAATATTCATGAGAGAAAATATGTTATATGCAGCACAACCCTAAGGTCTTAATACACTTAGGCCAGGTTGTCTTCCAGTCCATAACTCATATGAAGTTGTATTAACTGACTTTGTAGTCACCCGGTTAAGTACATAGGTGGTCGTAAGCAACGCATCACCACAATAACTAATTAGAAGGTTAGCTTGTGTAATCATTAGCCATTTCTAGGAGCGTTCCGCAACACCATTTTGTTATGGAGCATTTGGGATAGCCAACTGATGAACTATTCCCCTTTCATCATATAACCCACTAAATTGGGTTGATAAGTATTCACAACCACGGTCAATTCGAAGATCTTTTATCTTCTTGTCTGCTTGATTTTCCAATAAGCTCATATAGCGTTTGAAGCAACTTATTACTTCTGATTTGTGAAAACTTAAATAGATATAACTGAAAGAGGTAATGTCATCAATAAATGTGATGAAATAACTTGCTCCATGACTAGCCCTAACAGTTAAAGGACCATAAATGTCCGAACAGACTAATTGTAAAGAATATTCAGCTCTAGTCGCTTACTAAAAGATTTTCTTGCAGATTTTTCTGCTAGACAATTTTTACAAAGTGGACAATTCTACATGTTCAATGCTGGAAAGCAAAACATTTTTTGCTAGCCTTTGCTTTCATTGTTGGCCAATATGACCAAGTCTAGCATGCCAACGTTTACATCACTATCATATTTGTGTGAAGAAATAAACAAAGAAAAACTAGTATTATTAGTAAATGAATCATAATCCAAATCAATAATAATTAAACCTCTGATCACATGACCAAAATTAAATAAAGTTGAACCATAAGTCAACTTGGCAGAATTGCCATGACAAAACGAGTCAAATCCTAGCTTAAGCAAAATAGAAATTGAAATAACATTCTGACGAATTGCTGGTGTAAATTGGACATTATGTAGTATTAGGTCTTGATCGCCACGCAAGACTAACTTGCATGTATCGATCCCTTCAACAGTAACTCTATTGTTGTTGCCCATATATACCCACTTTGTTCCACATGAAACTCGTCAAAATTCAACAAAGGCATTGTGTTGTCAAGCTATATGGTTTGTTGCTCCTGAGTCTACAATCCACAATCCACAAAGGATTAGATTAATTTATAAAAATAAAACTAGAAACAGAAAGTTCACTAATTCGAGCATTATGAAATACCTTTCTAGGAGGCTCAGAGGAATCCTTGGCATAGTGACCCCTTTTGTCACAATTGTAGCATTTTACTTTAGAACCTTTGATACATTTGGGACGTCTGTTCTTGCTTTTTTCAGCTCTTTGCTCTTTTAGTAAGCTCAGCTGGCTGAGGACGAGGTGGCCCTCTCTTCTTTCCCCAATTCTTTTCCTTTGAATCACTCTTGGTTTTGGAGGTTGTTGCTATGTGCAACTCAGTTATTGGTTTTGCAGCCTCAAGTCGTTCATCCTCTAACTCAAGATGCCTTCGGATATCTTTCAAAGTTGTGATTCGCTTATTATCGGTTAAATGAATTTTTATATGATCTCAAGAATTAGGTAAAGAGCGTATGACAACTTGAATCTGTTGTTCATCAGTCAACACTTAACCAGCATCTTTCAACTCTCTAATCATATTTGTCATTTGCCTCATATGTGTTCTAATTGAGTGTTTTGGGCGTTTCTTATATGAATCAGATTTGATCGTTAAGGATCGTAGCCTTGCAGTGGAACATATATGAAACCTACTCTTTAAACCATTTCAAAGATCCATAACTCTTTGGTGATCCTTAAACTCCCTTGGAATGTCATCATCTAAGGTGCTCAACAAGATAATACAAGCAGTGGAGTTATTTTTCTTCCAACTGTCATAGGCTTCACGTTGACGCCTATGCTGAGCAGTGTTGCCTTTCTCATGCTTATTCATGACATTGTTAACGGCCTCTAGAGCCTCTTGCTCCTCTAGCACATACTGGACTT